CCGCCATCTTTCTTTCACCGTCGTTCCTAAACGCCTACAAACAGCAGCGCACTCCCGTTGCAGAGTGACCGCTTTTAACGAACGCACCCAAAAATTGTTACCAGTTGATGATGCTCATGCTGAGATCATCATATAGTATGAATAATCCTCTGGTAAAATATTTACTCAAATAATAAATAAGTATTTTACCTATGAAAAAAATAAATAATAAATTTATGGGAATCAATAAAATGAATTTAACAGCATGTTTTTTAAATTTTGGAACCTAACCCCCCTTTTCGCACTAGTTCTTTGTTTCGTATAATACGGATTCGCATAACACGGCAATTTTTTTGGAACGTAACTCTCGTGTTATACGGGGTTTACCTGTATATTATAATAGAATAATCCAACTTAGTGACATAATGACGTCATTTATTTCTTAAATAATAGCACCAAAGTATTTTAATTTATTTAATATTAAAACTTTTACTTAATATAAATATTAAAAATTACGTTAAAAATATTTTACGTTTAAATTTAAATATTTCAATTTATTATTATTACAATTTTTTTATTTTTATTTCGTCACTTCGGTAAAAAGCCCCTGTTTAAAGTTAGTCATCCCCAGTTATTGACTCGGTGTTTTGCAGTTAGTCCACTTGTGTTCGTGAAGAAAAGATATCTTTTTTTGAGGTAATATTTACGATAAATAATAAAATCTTAATAGTAAATACGTTTATAAACTAAAATAGACGGTTATAAATATTGGAAATAAAAATTTCATTCGCTTACATAAAGAATTATTAAGTCCCTTGTTTGGAGCATCGATCGCCATCTTGGAAATGATGTTCGTATCCTTTAGATTTTTATGAATTTACATGAAATATATTTGACGAATATTTATCAACGTTACGTTCTAAACATTATCAATCGTGAAATTCCTACAGGTAAATGATCTATAGGTATTTAAGTCAAGCTGTGACATTCGCCTTTGTCAACCTTTTATTACATTAATTCATAAATTGAGGATATGTAAACAAAAAAAATGCTGTTATGATGATGCTTGTATGCTTTTACACCACACAATTGTATACCCATAAAATTAACTAACAAAAAAAAAAAAACACTGAGAAAGAACCGTTATTTTTGTCTGTAATAATGCACTTCGAGGTCTGCGATTTGAATAGAAACCAAACAGAATAATGAATATTTGAAAAATTAAAAAAAAAATGTTTACTGTTATAAAGTAAAACATTAAAGAACTTTAGCAATTTGAATGTCTATAATGGAAAGTGGTAAATATTTGGTACATTTATAGAAGTGAATGAGTGTCGGAACTATTCGATAATTTGTAGATTGGTACGGTGCTTCGTAAATTATAATGAAATATGTGAAGTCTGACGACGTAATAAACTGGCAAAGTTCAGTGAATTCTTCGCAAAAAGAATAAGTTATCAGGAACACGTCAGAGATGAGTAGTCACGTGACCGAATAGCACCGACACATTGGAAGCGGACGCGTACGAAGAATGTGCCGTTCCACGACGAAAACAAGCTTAAGCAATGGCGTCTTCGAACGGGTACACTCGATAAGTATTCCGACAATTTTTTGTTCATAGCATATTTTATATCGATCATTTCAACAAATTATACGTGTTTTGGAAATATTCGAGTGAAATTAGTCTAGATTTAGTTAATTTTATGGAAGTAAACCTCTCAAATAGCCGTACCCGTTAATCTGTACAAGTGCCG